AGTGTTTTTGAGAGACTTGATAAAATTTTTATATAGAATAAAGCTCCACAAAGTTGATTTTTCAAATCAACTTTGAAAAATAAGAGCAAAGAGGGAGCTATTAATAGTAAAAATAAGGTTCTGGCACAAGAATAAGCAAATAGACCAATGGCACAAATTATATCACTCAAGATGAAGCCACGTACATAAGGGAACTTGAAGTCAGAAGAGGTACCACAAAACAATAGAGAAGGAATGGATGATTTAGGAGGTGGTACTGGAAAAACTGCCCGCTATATGGAGGAAAACAAAACCAGAATCTCATATGTCTGTCTTCCCCTCCCCTCTTCCTCTCTTTTTCCTTCTCTCACCCTCTTGCATTTTGCCATGGGATGACACAGCAAGGCAGCAAGAAGGCCCCCACTAAATGCTGGCACTTTGGTATTGGACTTCCCAGCCTCCAAAACTATGAGAAATAAATTTCTTTATAAATTAAAAAAAATAGACTCTAGATGTATTTAAGACCTGAACGCAAAAGGTAAAACTTTAGATTGAAAGAATCTTTGTGATTTGGGATAGGAAAAAAGATTCTGAAAGTGAAATTACAAGGTAAAAAAAAGAGATGACTTTAGCACACCAAAATTAAGAACAAGTACCTATCCTTGGGGGAATCGTTAAGTAAAAGGCAATAGGCACACCCCATGGTGCCCTTGGTGGCAACTGGAAGCAAAGCACTAAAATACACATGGCAATATAGACAGATCTTAAAAACACAGCACTGAGTAGTAAAAAGTTTGGGAAGCAGAACAAAGACTTTAGCACTATGTCATTTATATAAATTGAAAACACAGACACTCAAAACGACACTACATATTTTAGGATATATATCAAACAGGACAGAGCAGCTGATCATAGAGGTGGGAATTGGGAATAAAAATGAAAAAATAAACAGGGCAAGAGGAGCCCTTATGATGACCTATGATAAAAACCTACTTTGAGCTGGAAAGTATGATTAACTCAAACTTCTGCACTTGAAGACTTTCAAAAGCCAAAAGAAAGCCAGTGGCTTTGGAATAAAATCTGAACAAAGTACATATGTCACTTACTCAAACTCAGAAATGGCCACAGAGCACTGGTAGTGAATACTGTCCAAAATCAAATACCTTTCAAAAGACATTTTCAAGACTGATTAACAGTAGATGATGACTATATCTCAAATTTGGGCTCACTTTTCAGAAAACAAAATGTTATAATTCTATATTTTTAAAAGGTATGGTGGTACAAGAAACCCTTTGTAAGACATTTTAAAGATTATTTTCTCCCTGTTTTTTTTTTTTAAGAGATAAGGTCTCTCTCTGTCAACCAGGCTGGAGTGCAGTGGCGTGATCATAGTTCACTGCAGCCTCCAACTCCAGAGCTCGAGTGATCCTCTTGTCTCAGCCTCCCGAGTAGCTAGAATTACAGACATGTGCCACCATGCCCAGCTAATTCTTTATTTTTTGTAGAGACAGGGTCTTGCTATGTTGCCCAGGCTGGTCTCAAACTCCTGTCTTCAAGTGATCCTCCTGCCTCGGCTTCCCAAAGTGCTAAGATTACAGGCGTGAGCCACCAAACCCAGCCTTAAATATATTGACTCTTAATAGAGACTTTCTGGGAGAGTTAGGTCTGCTTTCCTTGGCAACCTTAAAATGTCATGGCTAGGCCGGGAGTGATGGCTCACGCCTGTAATCCTAGCACTCTGGAGGCTGAGGCGGGAGGATCGCTTGAGCTCAGGAGTTCGAGACCAGCCTGAGCAAGAGCAAGACCCCGTCTCTACCAAAAATAGAAAGAAATTGGCCAAACAATTAAAACTAGAAAAAATTAGCCGGGCATGGTGGCCCATGCCTGTAGTCCCAGCTACCTGGGAGGCTGAGGCAGGAGGATTGCTTGAGCCCAGGAGTTTGAGGTTGCTGTGAGCTAGGCTGACGCCTAGCCAGAGCGACAGAGTGAGACTCTGTCTCAAAAAAAAAAAAAAAAATGTCATGGCTAGATCACCTGCCTCAGGATCACCTGGGGTGACCGACCAGGATAGCAAGGGAGCAACAAATTCTAATTAGGATCTCTGCATTTTACCCAACGTCCCACTGTTTCTTGTTCATACCAGAGTTGAAAAAATAACTGTATAAGAGTATGGATTTCAAGACAAGTATCAGGCCGACTATAGCCCACCGTGTCCCTGGCATCTCTCACTATCTGACCTGGCTTGTCCCACACCCATCCTGGGCAAATTCCTGACTGTGATTCTGAAGGCGCCACTCCCTACCATCCCTCAAACTTGGCTACAGCCCCAACCTTGACCTCTGCCTCTCCTCCTCCTACTGCTCCTCCAGTGGCTGCTTTCATGGTGAATGGCACCACACACCTATCAGGGTCACCAAAGCTGGAAACCTGGGCATCAGCCTTGACTCCTCCCCCTCAATCGTTTCTCACCCTCACATCCAACCATGGTACCCAGCAAGCTGTTTTGTAATCACCTATAAACTGCGTGGTCTCCCTTGTGAGGCCATGAGTACCCAGGAGGCTGTAATCTTATCTGTCTCATTCATCACTGCACTCCCAGAGCCTAGCACAGGTCCTGGGTCACAACAGGTGCCAAATACAAGTCGGCTGAAAAGGAACCAATCATCTGTGACGCTATTTCCTCTGCCCAGAAGCCTTCTACTAGCACATTCCTGGATCAATTCTCACATGGAGCCAAGCCTAGGCTGCTTGGGAGGGGTGGGGGGAGATAACTCACCGTCTTTCATACTCCATGTCCTGATAGGGCCTGCGGGGGCTGCTGGGGCCCCTCCTCAGCCGCTGGCTCCGTTTCACTTCCCAGCCACCCCCGCTGCTGCCACCATGATCTGCCAGCCTGGGTGATGCCTCCTGCAGGGACTCTGGGGAGAGCAGAAGGAAGAAAGGGGTCAAGGGCGTTGGGGCAGAGAGGCCCTCCCTGAGCAACCCTTGTTGTTGAGGCTCTCTGCTGTTCCTCAACCCAGGGATGTTGTTTTCCAACTCCCAGTGCTCCTGTGGATCACAGTGGGAAGACAGCCCTTCCTTTCCACACAAATATGAGGCTAGAGCCCACTGCCCTAGAAAACAGCAAGGCTTTCATCAGACAGGGGGCATCTTGCAGAGAGACCTGGTGGGGCCACCCATTGTGTGATCATAGCTTTGCCACTAGAGACTTGTAGACAAGTTCAAGCCTGGGGCCACATGCCCTGGGGGGCTCTCAGTGCTGAATGACTTGCCTGAGATTAGGCACATTAGGTAAGATTTCACTACAGTGGCAGTCCCAGGCACCCAGCAGGTTCCTTCCATGGGCCCCAGGTTACCATTTCATCCTCCCAACAAAATGCTGGCTGCCCCCTACAAGGCAGCAAAAGATGCTGAAGGGCTCCTGGGGGTGTGTGTGAAGGGGCTAACTTGGCAACGAGACAGCTGCCACCTCCCTGGGCTCCTGGACAACACAGCCTTGGCCCTCACATGGCAACTGGCTCAGCCCTGAGCCCTGTCTCTTATGTGCAGCCAGGTCCCAAGGTGGCTCTCTCCCCAGGGCTCTGAGCTCAAGTTTTCCAGAGGCAGAAGGGGCCCTTCTGGAGGCTCTTCTGAACCACTGTGCTCTTCTGCTGGGATGGAGGGTCAGCCACCTCATCCGACTCTCGGGGCTGCAATGAGAACTAAGGGAGTCCTGAGAGCCCTGTCAGGGGTCAGGATGAATCCCACAATCTTCAGGCCCCGCCCTCTGAACGGGAATCAGGTAAAGCCAGACGGTAACAGGACCTGCCCAACCCTAGGTTGCCACCACACCTTTCCTCCATGCGCGCGCGGGCACGCACGCGCGCGCGCGCGCGCACACACACACACACACACACACACACACGCCAATTTTCTCTTCCTCCTCAAGGCACCGGGAACCAGAGTTACCTGCTCCCAGATGGATAAGAGTTATAATCACAACAAGGGGCCCCAGTGGCTGAGAGCCAGATACAAAACCCTCAACACACTCTGCCAAAGCAGCCAGAGTCACAGACACAAGCCCCAAATAACTACGGGCCAAAATTACAGAAGGAACACATAGTCAGGGCCATAATCACACACTGAGCCTCCTTTCAATGGATGAACACCAGTATCACACATAAGAATTGCTCAAAAAAAAGCGCAATAAGTCACACACACATTCCTTGCACTCCCCTTCCTACCCAATAAGTTAGGGCCAGTAACAAGACAGCCGCCCCCCACCCCGCCCATGGGTAAGGACCAGAGTCATAGACACCCGCCCCCCAGCCGCAAGGATAAAGACTAGAGTCACACATTCTTCTTCTGTCGCCCCTTCCCATGAATAGGGACCAGAACCACAGAACATTTCCCCGTGTACAGACAACCACCAAAGTAACAGGGTAGCAAGCACAACAAAGTCGCAGACACCTGCCTCTGCATGGGTACATGTTTAAAGTTCGGTGTAGCGGACACAGTTGCCTCCCTTCCCCCAATCCGCAAGCACCCATCCCGTGTCACAATCGCGCACGCGCCTTTGCTCTCGCAAAAAAAAAAAAAAAAAAAAAAGACCCCCCCCCCCCATCCCAGGGTTAGACGGTGCACACTCATCTCTCTGTTCCGCGCACACCAGCGGCCGCCAGTCCGCCCTCGCGCCTCCTCTACGCACCCCCCCCGCCCCAGGACCCTTACCTCCGCCCCCACGACCAGCGTCGACGCTCACCTTCTCGGCCCGGGCTGTCAAGGGAGGGCTCCCAGACATCACCTCGGCCCGCCGCCACCTCCTCAACTCTCCCAGCTCAGCCAGTGCCGGTGCGCGGAACAACCAAGTCCGAGGCTGGAGGCAGAAGGGAGGAGAGGGGAGGGGAAAAGCGCCAAGCGCGCTGCCCTCCCAGGGAAACCCTATGCAACCTACTTCCAGCCGGCCACAGTCACCAGCACAAAATGGCGACGAGGAGAAGGGAGCCGGCGCTCCGACCACCATCCACCTACTAAGGGAGCGCGCTCTGGCCGGCTTCGTCGATTGGTCGCTGGCCGCCGTTGGCCAGCCCTGGCCTGCTCTGATTGGCAGGCATTTGCCACCTCCCCACTGCCCAAGCAAACGCCCCGCAAGTGGAGAAAAAGAGGAGCTATTGGCCAATCCGTCAAGGTCCGCTTTTTAGAAGCTTGACTTCCTTTGAAGATGAAAGACTAGAGGAAGCTCCACCTCTCTCCCCAAAGGGCAAGGGAAATCTCTGGGCCATTGGCTGGGAATTGTATCCACCCATATGTCACCGCTTTATTCCTAGCAAGGAAATGAGGAGACCTATCAATAAGAGATTTCTCAGCCTGACAGATAGGATAAGAGAATGGTTCATCCCGCGAGACCATGACAACGGGAGGGAGAGGGGGCTCCTAAACGCCCCGCCTCATTTGAAAACAAAATCAGACCCGGGACCTATTTAGTGTGGCGGAGGCGGAGCGATAATTATCGTGCTCGGTCCAACTGCAGCTGCGCACAGTCGCATTTCCGTCCCCGCCCCTGAAGCCCTGCAGCACAATCATGGCGGGTGGGCTGTTAGGTTTGTGCGCTCGCCGCCTTTTGGTGACAGTGGCGACGCGAGGGCTTCCGGCTGCCCGCGTTCGCTGGGAATCCGGTTCCTCCAGGGCTGTGATCACCCCGTCCGCTGTGGCGGGAAAGCGGCCGCCAGAACCGACCATGCGCTGGCAGGAGGACCCAGATACCGAGGACGAAAACCTCTACGAGAAGGTGAGAGGGAGGGGGAACGGAACGCCGGGAAGGGTCAATCGGGGACCGGCAGACAGGGCGCCTTAGAGGACGTTCTTAGGCGGCCGAGGATTGCGCAACTGGCGAAATCTTCGAAGACCTGGGAATTTCGCATAGCTTGTTTTCCTCCTTTGTTCCCTGATTTCGGTCCATGGCCAGAGGTGGGATTGGCCTTATTTTGCAGACAGAAATCAAACTTGAAGTGGGCAGCGCTCAAAACACGTGAGAAGCAATATAGCATGACGACGGTAGTACTAAACACTGGTAAGACACTTGCTTGGTGCCACCTGTGTTCTAAACACTTCAAGTACATTAACTCATCCTCAAAACAACCCGATTTTGAGGTAGGCACTATTATTTATTATGCCCATTCTACAGATGAGGAAACTGAAGCACAGAGATGTTAAGTGGATTGCCCAAGCTCACATAACTGAATACGTGGTAGAACCGGTATTTGAACTTAGGGTTACCAGGTCTGCTGTGCTGTATTAATAGCAAAGGCTGTGAAGTCAGGCGGCCCGGGTTGGAATCCAAGCACTGACAGTTACCCACCTTGTGACCTTGGGTAAGTCGCTTAACCCCTTGGTGCCTCAGTTTCTTTTTTTCTTTTTCGTTTTTACTTGTGTACCAATCACACAGAAAGTGCCTCAGTTTCTTTGTGTGTAAAATGGGAAAAGTAATGGGGCAGTTTCTAAAAAATAAAATACTATACACCTGCCTCATGTAATTAAATGAGTCAAAATGGTCAGAACAGCAGGTGGCACTTCATAAGCACTCAGCATTAGAAGGAAGCATTATTGTCATGTTCCACCTCACTGAGGTATTACGAGGTTTGTGTATGTGAAAAGGCCTGGCACATAGTAATTACTTCATCAATACTAACCTCTTGTTAAGGGATTTGGATATATAGGATGCTTATTCATTTATTTGCTCATTCTGTATATATGTGTTGAGGGCTGCTGTATGCCAGGTGCAGTTCAGGGACCTAGGGGTACAGCAGTGTGGAAATCAGATAAGGCCTATGCTGTCATAGAGCCTACATAATTGTGGGGAAGACAGAAAATAAACATGTGAAATATTAGAAAGCAATAATACAGAGTGATATAGGCTGGATGCAGTGGCTCATGCTTGTAATCCCAGTGCTCTGGGAGGCTGAGGGGGGAGGATCACTTGAGGCCAGGAGTTCGAGGCCAGCCTGGGCAACATAGCAAGGCCCTGTCTCTACCAAAAAAGAAATAATAATAATGTAGGAATAATATAATAGTTAATAAGATAAGATAATGTGGTACAGAAGGTCTGGGGTGCTACTTTGGTAAACAAATAAGTGCTAGAAAGTTAAGCAGGATAAGTTGATGGAGAGTGACTTGGGTGTAGGGGGCTATTTTATCAGGTTACACCATAAGAAATTGCCAATATGCAACCATTTTTGACCTATAAAAATAGCAGTTTTCTGTGTTCAACTTAATAGAGTGACTCGGGAATGCCTCCTAAAGGAAGTGGTGATGAAGCCAAAATGTTCAATGATGAGACAGATCCAGCCATGACTAGATTGGGAGGAAAGGCTATTCAGGCAGTGGGAATAGCAAGTGCAAAGGGCCTGTGGTGGGAGGGAGCTTGACACATCCTAAGACTAGAAAGAGGAATTTAATGAGGAAGGGGAGTTTGGAGACGAGGTTCTGCAGAGCCTGCATAAGGCTTCGTGGAGCAGTAGGAAGCCCTCACTGACTTCTCCTCCTCCACAGAACCCAGACTCCCACGGTTATGATGAGGACCCTGTTTTGGACGTCTGGAACATGCGGGTCGTCTTCTTCTTTGGCTTCTCCATTGTCATGGTCCTTGGTGGCACCTTTGTGGCCTATCTGCCTGACAACAGGTTCATGGGGTGTCTGAGAGAGTAGGATGGATAGGGGGTGGAGACGGGGGTGGAGGTTGAGGGCGACTTTGCCAGGAATCTTGTCCTTGCACCATTGGGGAATGGGGACCTGAAATGCGGGATTGGTGTCCAGTGAGGCTCCCTCAGTGTCTACCCCCGCTGCCGCTGCTTCCAGGATGCAGGAGTGGTCCCGCCGGGAAGCTGAGAGGCTTGTGAAATACCGAGAGGCCAATGGCCTCCCCATCATGGAATCCAACTGTTTCGACCCCAGCAAGATCCAGCTGCCAGAGGATGAGGACTGACCAGTTGCTGAGTGGGGCTCAAGAAGCACCACCTTCTTCACCCCTGCCTGCCACTTTGTCCTCTCAGAGCACCTAATTAAAGGGATTGAAAGTCTAACTGGCTAGTATTGATTTTGGTTGTTGTAAAGGGGCTATGGGGGTGGGGGTGTCAGAAGCCTTAAAAGGGCCACTGTAGCCTTTCTTGCATATTCTGGTTGTCTATTGCTGTGTAACAAAGTACCCTAAAACTTAGTGGCTTAAAACCACAGTTCATTATTATCTCTCATGGTCCTGTGGGTTGACTGGGCAAAGTGATGTGACTCTTCTTGGGATCTCATATAGTTGCAGTTACATGGTGGCTAGGGCTGGACATCCAAGATGGCTTCTTCACTCACATGTCTAGCACTTCAGTCGTCTTCCAGGTGGCCTCTGTCCAGCAGAATAGCCTTCATTTCTTAATATGGTGGCTCAGGGCTCCTCTGGATGGGGATGTAGCATGTAGGAAGAAATTAGTGGCAGCCATCTTTAGAGCCAAGCCACCTCACTGGGACCTCCTACATTTGAAGAGGGGCGAGGGTCAGAGCAGGGCTATTCTATTGCCGACGGTGGGTGTTTGTCTCCCTCCTTGCCTTCTCCGCTTCTCCCTAGGCTTTGGGGTTTTTGCCTCTGTTTTGTGTCTTGGTGAGTCTGGATGCCTCTCTGTTCCCTTCTGCACCAAATCTGGATGATCTGACTCAAGATACACATCTCTGTGTGTGTGCATGTATGTCTCTTTCTCTCCCTCCCCCTTCCCTCTTTGTCTTCCTGTGTCTCTCAGTAAGAAGTCTTTGGCTGGTCCGATGGTAGTGGGTTATCAGAACTTATTAACATTAGTGTCACTAAAGTTGGTATTCAACCCCCCACTGCTAAATTTGACTGGCTTAAAAAAAAAAAGAAGTATTTCCCCCCTCACTTTCTTTCTCTCTGGAAATAGGCTGTCTCCTTGCATCAGGGTCTTGCTCGCTGTCAGTCTGGCAGATGGAGTAGGGACTGGCTCTGGCTCTATCTTTGTTTCTTTCTATGGCATCTCTGTTGAGTCCTGGCTTTAGCCCTTCATGCTCCTGGCACCTCTGCCCTCTCCCTGGTGGCCCTCCTTCCACAGCTCACACACATTCAGATCCCCACCTCATGTACTCATTGCTACCATCTCTGCACTTGTCCCTGCCTGGGGCTTCAGAGGGTGTAGGAGCCGCCAGCCACCGGCTACCGGAAGAATTCCGGCCTGCTAGACTCGCCACCAGGGGTGATGCCCTGCTCTTAGCTGCTGAGTCCCAGGGGAGCCTGGGTTCACTTGAGTGTGGCTGAAGCAGGAGCCGTATCCACAAGTGCCTTCCTGTAAGTGAGGAGAACCCTGAGTGCTTCCCCCCAGTGCTTCCCGTGGGGCCAGTCTCCCAACTCAAGTGTCGGCCCCAAAGCAGAGAATAACAACGTGGAAAGGGAGCACTCTCCACCCACCAACCTGCAGTTACCGGGACTACAGAAGTGAAAGGGGCATGCTGTCCCAGCCACCAAGTACCTGAGTGTATTGGAGTAAAACCCCCTATAATGAATGGCAGCCTGTGGCCCAGAGAGCACATTTCTTCCACTTACCCCCCACCAAGATGTAAACTCCAGAAGGGCAGGTATTCAGGTATGTCCTGTTCACTTAGAGCAGTGATTGGTACAGCATGTGCTTGATAAACATTTGATATCGATACTGTTTGTGAAGGTGATATCCCTTGCCCATTTATGCCTTCAGGCATACGTTTTTTTTTTAAGAGAGGGAGTCTTGCTCCTGAAGACAAACACTTCCCATTCCCCTAGCTCTGCCTTATCAAGCTCTCAGGCTCTCAAGAAGCCTCCTTTCTGGTCAAAAAACAAACAAACGAACAAACAGGCTGCACTTAGACCAAATCCTAAAATCCATGCCCTGGCCCCCATTCTGACTACAGCAATACTACCTTCCCCTCCGTCATTGTGGCCCAGCCACACTGGCTGCCTCTTTTTTTTTTTTTTTTTTTGAGACAGGGTCTTACTCTGTTGCTCAGGCTGGAGTGCGGTGGCTCGAGCGATCCTCCTGCCTCAGCCTCCCGAGTAGCTGGGACTACAGGCGCGCACCACCACGCCTGGCTAATTTTTTCTGTTTTTAGTAGAGATGGGGTCTCGCTCTTATTCAGGCTGGTATCGAACTCCTGAGCTCAAGCAAAGCTCATGATCCTCCTGCCTTGGCTTCCCAGAGTGTTAGGAATGCCTCGCCTAAAGCTGCAGTCCCCAACCCCTGGGCCCGGAGGGTACCAGTCCGTTAGGAAAACAGGGTGACCCATCACCGCATCACCATCTGAGCTCCGCCTCACCCCCACCCCGCCCACCTGTCCCTTGCCGGCCTCCCCCGCTGTCCATGGAAAATTTGTCTTCCATGAAACCGGTTCCTGGTGCCAAAAAGGTTGGGGACTACCGTTCTAAAGTTCTGGGACTATGGACATGAGCCACCGCTCCCAGCCTGCCTTTTTTTTAGTTGTTGAATTAAAATATACATACAGAAAAGTGTACAAAGCTCATTTACTTTTTCACAAACCAGACACACCCATTAATCAGCACCCAGGTCAAGAAATATAACATCAACAAGCCCCAGAAGCTCCCTTCAGGTCCTCCTTCCCCCTCAAAGGTAACCATTCCTGACTTCTAACATTAGGTTACTATGGTCTGGTTTTGAACTTCTTTTAAGTGTAATCATACATTTTTTTTTTTTTTAGAGACGAAGATCTCACTCTGTCGCCCAGGCTGGAGTGCAGTGGTGTGATCATAGCTCACTGCAGCCTCCAACTCCTGGGTTCAAGTGGTCCTCCTGCCTCGGCCTCCCAAGTAGCTGGGATTCCAGATGTGAGCCACCAAGCCTGGCCATACATTTTTGTGTCTGTCTTCTTTTCCTTCAGCACAATGTTAGTGAGACTGCTCCACATTGTCGTGTATATTAGTACTTTGTGCGTCCTCATTGCTGTATTCTATTTCATTGTATGAATAGACCACACTTTATGCATTCTGATGTTGCTGGGCATTTGGGTAGCTTTCTATCTGGGGCTATTAAGAATAATTCTACGAACATTCCTGGACACATCATTTAATGAACCTACACATTCATTTCTCTTGGGCATACACCTAGGAACGGAATCTGTAAGTCATGGGGTAGACGTGTGATTGGCTTTAGTAAATATGCCAATTTTCCAGATGGACACCAGGATCTCTGCCCGCAGGAATTTCCCAAGACGGGGATGGGGGCTGGTGTGAGTGGTCAGAGAACTTAAACGCGATGTTATCGCCCTGCTGTTGGGTGACAGGGACCCCAGGGACATTTGAACTTTGGACCCAGCTTTGCTCCACCAACATAACAGGTACCAACCTCCTTCATCCTTCAATCTAATAGAGCATTTCTTCTGTGCAAAGCCCGGTCAGTGAACAAGACAGACACAGTCCCTGTAGCAGCCTCTGTCAGTTCCCTGCCCAGAGCCCTGGGGCCTTACTTCTTCAGTGTATGTTGGCCAATTTCCAGTTGACCTTGGGGTCAAATGGTAGCCTGGACCCCCAGTCTGCATCTTTTTGCTGGAAATGAACACCCCTCCCCCCCTGCTGCTGGAAGCAGCTGTCGACCCCTGACTGATGAGAGCTGGTAGGTAAATACCCTTCCCCACCCCTCGCCCCTCATACCAACTCTGTATGGCCCAGAATTCCAGCAGGAATACACTCTGGTTGCCCACAGGGGATAGTCGCTCCATAACACTCTTTATCAGCTGCCTTCTCTTCTTTGTCTCACTTCCTCACTTCCCCACTGGCCTACACGTGCTTCCTGGAATCACTTCCTAAATAAACTACTTCAATCCTTGTCTAGGGTCTGCTTGGGGTGGGGATGGGGCAAACTAAGACAGTCTCTGTCCTCAAGGTGTTCACAGGGTGGTGGGCAAGAGAGGGTGAACATAAATCAACAGATGAGCTAAGTCCCACCGGAAGGCCAGGATGGCTGGGATTTTGTGAGGAAAGAGTGGCTAGAGATGTGGTTCTGAAATTTGTCAGTGGCCAGATCCGTAGGGCCCCATGGTCATGATTAGAAAGAGTTTAGATTTCACACACTCCACAAAGTTGATCAGAAGCTTACTGAAAACCCAGATTAGTAAAGTCCATCCCAGGCAATTCTGGAGTGTCTAGGGAGGATTGCTTATAGTTTTTCTCATGGATTGCCCAGGAAATAAAAACAAAATACCTTACCAGGTTCACGACTATTACCAATAGCCATAAGCACCACAGAATAAACTGACAGCAGCTAAAACTGTGAACTTAAAAATGTATTGAGGGAAAACTGATGGAAGGATCCAATGTTCTCAACAAAACGTGGACCAGCAAATTTTGATCCTGAAATATTAGACTTGATGGGAACTGGCCACAAATAAAGCTCAGAATGGCAAGAGCTATTAATTCAACAAATATTTATTGCAGTGCCTACCAGGTGCCAGGCACTGTTACAGGCAATGGAGATACAACAGGGAACAAAAAGATTAAAAAATTTAGGCCGGGCGCGGTGGCTCATGCCTGTAATCCTAGCACTCTGGGAGGCTGAGGCGGATGGATCGTTTGAGCTCAGGAGTTCGAGACCAGCCTGAGCAAGAGCGAGACCCTGTCTCTACCAAAAATAGAAAGAAATTAATTGGACAGCTAAAAATATATAGAAAAAATTAGCCGGGTATGGGGGCACATGCCTGTAGTCCCAGCTACCTGGGAGGCTGAGGCAGGAGGATTGCTTGAGCCCAGGGGTTTGAGGTTGCTGTGAGCTAGGCTGATGCCATGGCACTCTAGCCCGGGCAAAAGAGCGAGACTCTGTCTCAAAAAAAAAAAAAAATTCTGCTTCATGGAGCTTATATGCTGACAAGGAGAGACATAAAATAACACAGGGAGTCACTCTGAACCTATTCTGGTTCTGGGGGCTGCCTGATTTTAAAAAAGAAACAACACAATCCATTAGTACATTGTATGTATGTTAGGAGGTGGCACATTTTTAAAAAATGTATGTATTCATTTATTACAGACAGGGTCTCACTCTGTTATCTACGCT